GGTTACATGTGCATGTGAACCCGGCTGGGTGCACATACCCTCAGTATGTATGTTTTCCTGCTCCATGTCCACACTCCCTCTGTATGTGCAGATAATGCATCTGTGTTCAGAGTTCAGTGTTCAGAGTGTCCTGAGGTGGCTGTGTTCAGGTCCTAGTGGTAGCACATTCCTTATCTCTTGGGTCACTGCCCCCTCCGTATAGCTTCCTGGCCCCACAGGGTGACCCTCCGCAGCCTCTGCCCCTACAGTTGTGGGGGACCATTGTGGGTGGGGCCTCTCCTTCATAGGCCTCCACTTCCATGCTGGCTGTGTCCAGCCTCCACCCCTTCCATTCTGTGTCCCCAGTGCTAGTGAGCTCGTGATCTGTCCTAATGACCCTCCTCAGGGCCCAGAGACCAGCAGGTGGGTTCTTGGCTGGCTGGAAACGATCCTTTTTTACAGTGGGGCCCTTCTCTGCCTCTTTGTGTGCTGTCCTGCCCTCATCAGGAGTCGGGTGCAAGAGGCTGTTTATTGAAAGCAGGCAGCCGCAGGGGCTGGCGGCTTTGGCCTGACCTGCGGCAGGGTGAGGAGCTAGCAGGGCCGGCCACCGGCCTCTGTTTAGAAGCAGCCACCACGACCCTTGTCCCAAAACACCTAGCATCTCCCAGGCTTTCGGGGCTGCTAATCAAGAAAGTGTCACTTACAAAAATCCCAAAACTGCGCATGGATGACACGTAAATTCGTGAAGCGTTCCATATTTAAAAAAAAAATCCCAAACTGACTTCACTCACAGAAATGAGGACCCTTCCCCACTGTCCCAGGGATGTGCAGGAGTAAGGGAAGCTGGCATGGCTCCCATTTACCAGATGGGGAGACTAGTGCTGGAAGGTGTGAGTTGACTCATCTGGATAACAGAGTCCTGGGGTCCCTTATCGTCTGTTGGGACCTGTGGGAGAGAAGAGAGAAGATGGTTTTGGGCATGTTAGGAGGAAGGGCCAGTCCCTGGAGAAGGGAGTGGGCAAAGCGAGAGTCAACAGAGAAGAGAAAGAAGTTCTGTGGGGTCCACCGTGCCGGGCTCAGGCACAGAGCAACCTTTAAGGACCGTGCTGGAGGTGGGATTTCTTTTTGTTGTCCATGGGGTCCCTAAGTTGGAGCCAACTTGAGGGTACCCAGCAACAGCATCTGCTGAAACATCACCCAGCATCTGGGGAGAACCCTCCACTGCCCTTTGCTGGTGGACATGCTCCTTCTGCCCATGGCCACGTGCTGGTATGCATGCCCCTAGTGCACACGCAGGGTTACACTCAAATGCACTAGACATCACACCTGGCCCCCAGGTGGGTCGGCCCCTCCTTGCCTCTAACCAGGACATGTGGGGCGTCTGAACCTCATTAGACTAGGAGTGGGCGTCTTGTCACCTCTCTGCATCCCTTCAGGAATGGTGGGCGGAGGCTCAGATGGCCATCAGTCATCAATCCACTGCCGGACAGATGGAAATACGTAGGGGCCCAAGACAAATGCGTACACACATTTACACACGTGCAGACCTGCCCCATCATGCACTTTCAGCCAGCCAGATGCTCACAGCTCCCCTCATAGCCCCCTCCCACTTGTACCCCAAGAGCAGCTCTGGCATCCCCAGCCGAGATATTGGGATCCCTGGGAGGAAATGGGAAGGCGCTGCCCAAGCTGGGGGTGGGGGGCGGGGCTGCGGGCCTCTCGGTCCAGCCGCCCACCCCTGCCAGCCAGTGCTGGTCTTCCAGCCTGGTCAGCCCTGGGCGGTGCCTCTGTCCATGTAAGGCCCTGGAGTGCCAGCTGCTGACCAGCTCCTGCCACCTGCCTGTCCCAGGTGGTGCAGAGGATCAAGGCTGTGGAGGGACAGACACGGCTGCTGGTGGTGGACAAGGAGACAGATGAGGAGCTTCGCCGGCGGCAGCTCAAGTGCACGGAGGACATGGCCCAGTGGGGGCTGCCGCCTGCCCATGACCCCTGGGAACCAAAGGCAGGCTGGCCGGCCGAGGGTGGACTGGGCTCCGAGGCCGGCGGGAAGGTATGGTGAGCTGTGCCCACAGTGTCCACCCCAGCTTCTCGTCTGTACCTCTGTGTTGTCCACTTGGGTCACTCTGCCCTTTGCTGTGTGACAGACTGGTAGTGTCCACCTGGCTTTTCTGTTCCTATTCCTCTGTCCCCATCTCTCTGTATCACTCACAGCCACTTGATCAGGGAGGAGGTCTGCTCACTCTGACGTCACCCTTGGCCTAATGGTTAGAAGTTGCTGGGATGTTTATGAATTGGATGTGCCCTGCTCTGTGCCATGACACAAGCCTGTCCTGCCTGTCTATGTCTGTCCACTTTTCTGCCCACCTGTCTGTGCATCTGTCCACCTCTCTGCCCTTCTGCCTGTGCGTCCGTCTGTGGCCTGTTTGTCTGTTTGCTGAATCTACTTGTACCCCACCTCAGCAGTGCTCTGGTCAGGGGACATTCCAAACTGGAGAGGCTTGGCCTGGAGTGCAGGGGTGACTAGGGTCAGGGGTCAGGCTATATGCATTCTTGTAGCCTTGCTGTGCCCCCAGTGTCTCCTTTCTTAGATTAAAGTTTGGAGATGGATTGTTTGAGAGGGCCTGGGGTCCCCGCCTGCTGTTCTCAGGGGCCCTGACTTGGGTAGTATCCTGTCCCTGCTCCTGTTCAGACCAAACCCGCCGCCTTTGAGCGGGTTCTGACTCAAGGCGACGGCCCCATCAGGTTTCAAGGCTGAACGTCTTTACGAAGCACACTACTTCATCTTCTCCCAAAGTGTGTTCAAACCACTGACCTTTTAGTTAGGAATGGAATTCTTTAGTCACTGCTCACCACTAGGAACCCTTAAAGTCACCTAGGAACCAAAATCCTCAAACCTGCTGCTGTGGAATAGAGTCCAGCTCAGCAACCCTGTAGAATGGCGTAGAAATGCCCACAGGGTTTCTGAGATTGTCAGTGTTTTCAGAAGTAAACATTCTTCTCCCTCACCATCGACTGATGGATTCGAACCTCCAGCTTGAAGTTTAATAACTAAGCATTTTAACCACTGTAACCCCTAGGGTTCCTGTCTCCTTCCAGGCCAAGAGACTCGGAAATGAACGGGAGTGGGTATTAGGCCTGGGAGGTGATCCCACCTTGGCAAACACCCACCTGGGCACACGTCTGGAGGCCAGGAGGAAGTGTAGAGGTGGTCCTGTCTGTGAGGAAGCTTAGTTATTCTTTCTCATGTCCTTTTAAAACATGTCCCCTTAAGGGGTTCCTCTCTGAGAACCACAAGCCTACAGGCAGGCATCCAATTCTAAGTTCTGGGGGATCGGGAGTCTGCTGGCTGCACAGGGGACTTTGGTGTTCCCTCTTTTCTCACATGATGATAAGGAGACCTTCTGTGGAGGGCCTTGAGGTTGGCCTTGGGGGGCTGGCTGGGGACAACACCTTGGAGGGAGGCTGGCATGGGTGTGGAGACCTTGTGTTGTGATTTGGGCTGGAGGGCAGGAGGGGGGTTTAGGGCCTGGAGCCTGGTGCAAGCCTGGAGCCCCAACTTTGCTCAGGGCAGCTGAAAGTCGAATAGGGACATTTGAGTCAGATTTGGGATTTCATAGGGCATCTTAGGGCAGTGGTGGCTGGGATCATGGGAAGCAAGCTGGTCCTAGCCCTTCTTCCTCCCGGCTGAAGGTGGGAGCCTCCCTCTCCCCCAGGAGGAAGCACCCCCCTTCAAGACATTTGTCCATTGATTCAGACAAATGGCCGGGTTTACCTTCCTGTGGAAAAATCTGCCCTCAGTTCTTATCTGCTGGGTGGAGTGGCCCAGGACCTTGGGTGAGCCCTCCTTGCTATTTCAGGCTCCAAGGGCTGCAGGAAGTGCTGAGGGAGAGGGCTTCCTGTGAGCATATTTGGAGAGAAACAAAAGGAGGTAGAAATGGCAGGTGGAGAGGTGCCTGTGGACAGGGCTGCTGGGAACAGGGTCTAGTCCCTTCCCTCTGGAATTATGGTGTCTGGGGACCAAACCCTTTGTTGGTGAGTCGGTCTTGACACAGGGTGATCTTGCCAATCTCAACAAGAAGAGGCAGCTGGTGGATCCAAACCGCCGACTGCTTGGTTGGTAGCCTATACATTATGCCACCCATGCACTTTGTTCAGGACAGACCACCCCCTTGCCTGGCCTGCAGGGATGTGGGCTCACAGCCTTGCCTCACTCATACGTGAGGCTTAGACACCTTCCTCCTCAGATGGGGGACAGCCCTCAGGGCCAACCTTCCCCCAAGCATGGGGGTGTCAGTGACTGTTTGTGGGGGCAGTGATGTCCCTCTCACCGTCTCTGAGCCTCATTTTCCTCCTGTCCCTGACTAGTTTGGGGGAGGTGGGCCCTGCTGACACTGATGAAGCTAGCCCTTCCCCCTGGGGCCTGGGCTGGGGGTGGCTGTAGCTGCATGGCAGCTGATGCTGCTGGGACGACAGAGGACAGCCCCAAATGGGGATTGGGCCCGCTAATGGTGCACAAGGCTGGCCCACACCCTCTAGCCTAGCCTGTCTTCCACCAGAGGGTGACATGGGATGACATGGTTGATCAAGCTCCTCAAACCTTCCTCTCTACTCTGGGGGCTCTACAGCCAGGGTTCTTGCTGTACCATCTCCACCTGACCTGTGCAGCCTGGGCCCCCAGAGTTCAAAGCATAGGGGTCCCCAGAGGTGGCAGCTGATTGTCCCCTCCCTGTCCTATCCCTGGAGCCCTGGGCCTTGGGAGCAGCCAGGGCTGGGTTCCTAGTGGCTTCCTTCCTTCCTTTCTTGAGACGGAAAACTCATTGGGCGTGTAGAGGGGCGCCAAGCTGGAGCCTGAGCCAGAGCGGGGGGCTTTGTCACCACCCTGTTCCCTAAGGTGACTCAGTGACTTGGTTCCCCACCCATCCCCGGGGATTCTAGGACACAGGGGAAGGTAGAAAAGGGGGTGGCAGTAGCCTGGACAGGCATGAGAGCAAGCTGTCCTCTGCCACTTTGGTCTTACTGCCATGGCCCGCTCTGGGGCTGCCACGCTGCCCACCTCGGCCTCGGGAACCCCTCCACGGAGCCCACCCCGAGGGCTCATGAAGGTCAGCACTGGATGTGTGTACTGTGGTTAGGCAGTCCCTGCAGGGTAGGGAGAGGGGACTCTGGGGACCAGGCAACAATGGATCCTTTTTCTGCAGGCTACTGTGTTATCCTCGGGGGTGGGGGGTGGGGGGAAGCTGTCCAGGCAGCCCCTTGTCAGCCTTTTTGTCCCATTTAAGGCCTGTCTAGGAGGCTGAGCTTGCCCAGTTCTGGGGCCCAGTGGCGGCTGCCGTGGGAGCCTAGGCCTGGCCGGGAGTGGCAGGAAGTGAGCTGAGCCAGGGCTGATGAAGGAATGTCAGTAATTCGCCCATGGCCCCCACCCGCTCTGCTGCCACAGCTCACCAGGCCTCCCCTGCCCACCCAACCTGCCACACAGTCAGCCCCTCCACGCGTGCACCATGCACTTCACTGAATGTGACACCCCTCAAAAATCCTGCTCCTAGCCAGAGAGATTTAGGATAGACGTCAGGAAGAACTTTTTGGCTTATGTGCTGTGAGACAGCTGTTCTGGGATGAGGCAGGCAGATGCCTGGAGATCCTGGATGTGACCCCAGCTGGACGGACCGTGGCCTCTGTCCTAGATGACCCTTCCAATCCTGTTTTCTGTTTGGGGAACGGAACCCTGGAGGCCAGGGCCCGGGGCGTGGGAAGATGCTGGGGGGTATGTGTGTGGTGTGTTAGTGTCTTTGTGGCGTGCTGGAGAGCCTCGTTCTGTGTGCTTCTGCAGCCCTGGCTCCTGTCCGCATGCTGGACACGGCCATGCCACACTTCCGAGCTCCATGCCTGTCTCGCCTGCCTCCTCCTCCTGGGGATGGGCCTCCCCAGCCACCCTCATGGCGCTGACCCCAGAGAATGGGGGGCTGGACATATTGGGGGTTTGTGACTCCAATTCAGCCCGTTTCCTAGTCAAGCCTCCTACCCTCTGGATTCTTGTTATAGGCTGGATGGGTTCAGGTTTAACAGGAAACTTTTAGAGGTGAGGTCTGGCTGGATTTGGGGGTCAGGGTTTCTTGAAATGAGAGGAAGGCTAGGCAGGAAGAGGGTCTTCTGGACAGATGAGAGGGAAAGCCCAGCCCAGGCTCTTTTGTTCCCACATTGGAGACTCCCCAGGAGACCTGGTTGGCGCAGTGGTTAAATAGTGGGCTGCTAGCTGAAAGGTTGACAATTCAAATCCACTAATTGCTTCATGGGAAGAAGAGACTGTAAAGATTCACAGCCCTGAAACCCTCTGGGACAGTTCTGTCACCTCTGTGGTGGCTGTGAATGGGGTGGACTCAACAGCAGTGCGTTTGAGGTTTTTGGTTTGAAGTACATGTTGTAGCAGGTTGTGTTGAGCTGATCACGAAAAGTTTGGTAGTTCGAACCCACCAGCCTCTCTTCAGTAGTGGTTCTCCTTCATCCTACAGGATTGCTGTGAGTGTCAGTGAGTTGGATTTAGGGAACCCCTAAAGGAGGAGGGGTGGTATTCAACTGCTAACTGAAAGGTCAGGGATTTGAATCCACCAGCATCTCCCATGGAGACAGCTGAGGCCATCAGCAACTAGAAAGGTCACTCACTGCCTTGGGGACCAAGAGGGCAGTTCTGCCCTGTCCCACAGGGTTTCTGTGAGCTGGGATTGACCAGACAAGTTGGGTAAGTGGGCACTGCCTGCTCGTTAGAGGCTTGAGGGTACCCATCAGAAAAGGGGTTTGCACAGCGTCCCTTTTCAGCAGGAAGTAGCTAAGAGAATACGCCATCCCCTTTTCCTTATGAATCAGGGTGAAGTCTCTCTCAGGGAGGAGTGATAGGGAATGGCAAAGGACACACCGACAAAGGAGATTAATCAGAACTGACTTTGACAAGCACTGTGGCAATTGGGCAATTAAAACAGACATTCGGATGGCAGGGAAGAAGAACAAACTGGGGAGGAGGGTGGAGAGAATGGTGCGGCAATGAAGGAGTGAAAGCCCAGAATCCCTGTGAATGTTCATTGAAACTAATAAAATTTAATAATAATTTAAAAAAAAGGGGGGGGGGAAAGAAAAGGGGTTTGGAAGGAGAGTTCTGGGCTCTGGAAGTGCTGGTCCCCAAGACATTGAGGACTGAGTGGCCCCAGTGTGGCTCACAGCCTTGGCTTAGCCCCCAGCTCCCAGAGAGGCTGCTGTGTGGGGTGAGGGTAGAGGGAAGGGTGCACCCAGGAGGAGCGTGTCCAGTCACACACTCACCTCCCTACACCTTGAGGCCCCTGGTGCTCCCAGGAAACCTGAGCTTTCAGCCCGCCATGTTTAATTGAGCTCGGCAGCTGCTGGCCACTCCGCTCCACCATCACTGAGGGGGTCTGACCTGCAAGAGTCCTCAGGTTTGGCCCTGCAGCATGCTAGAGGTAAAGTAAAGCGAGGCTGACCTAGGGAGGCCAGCCCCCATCCTCTCCCTGCTCTTCCCCTGTGTCCCTGGCCCTGGTGGGGAAGGGGTGGCTCCAGTAACTGCTAGGATGTGAAAGTGAATCCAGCACCAGGAGGCCCTGGGGAGAGAAAACAAAACTCCAAGCTGATGTGGCCAGCTGCTGGCCCAGGGAGGGGCATTCGGGGACATCGCTGACCCAGGGGACAGCCGTAGGGGACTAGGATGCCACTGTTCACCTGATTTTGGATCTTCCAGGACCACACATTGCTTCAAGACTCTGTCTTGTCCTTGAACTTGTGAGAGGGATGGTCCTCACATAGTGTTTCTAGACTTGGAGGCTGAGACCATGCCCAGGATCCACAGGCTCTGAATGTAGGTCAGGGCTGGCGTCCAGTCACTCAGACCTGGGCCATGTTCTCAGTGGCTACATGAAGGACCTGTGTTCACCCTAGCCTCCTGACCCTTTCAGGATGTGAATGGTCCCCCCAGGGAGTTGCGGCCACGCCTTTGCCACCTACGAAAGGGCCCCCAGGGCTATGGATTCAACCTGCACAGTGACAAGTCCCGGCCCGGCCAGTATATCCGTTCTGTGGACCCTGGCTCACCAGCTGCCCATTCTGGCCTCCAGGCCCAGGACCGGCTCATTGAGGTACCAGCACCTGCAGCTGTGGGAGCTCGCTACCCTGTCTGTGCCAGGAATGCCCTGTGCGTGCCTTCACCTGCATGTGTCAGTGTCAAGACCTCCGTGTGTCTGTAACCACGTGTCCCCATGTCTGTTTCCCTGTGGGTGTTTATGTGTGTTTCTCTCTGTGTGTGCGTGCCCGTGTGTCCCATGTCTGTGCCCCTTTGTGTGTTAGAGCCCACATGCCCCTATGTCTTTGTCTCTGTGTACTTATGCGCATGTATCCTGGTGTGTGTCCCTGTATGGTATATGCCCATATGCCCCCATGTCTGTGTCCCTGTGCTTGTGTGTTTCTGTGTCAGTGTTAAGACCCTTACTGTGTGTTTGTGCTCATATCCCTATGTGTACATCCGGGTCTATATGCTGACACGTATCTGCCTGTGTTTCCATTTGTCAAGACTCCCTTCTAAGTGTCAGTGTCAAAGCCTCCTTTCACATCATTGTCAGGGCACTCCATTGGACAATGTCAGTATCAAGGTTCTTGTGTGTGTGTCTGTGTCCATATTCATGTGTGTGCACTGCCTGTGACCCGATGTGTTTGTCCTTCCATGAGTTAAGACTCCCACTTGTGTCGGTATCAAAATCCCTCATACGCCGTGCAGCTGTGTCCCTATGTCTGTCCCTGCTCCTGTGTGCCCCCTTGTGTCCTAAGCCTTGTGTAGTCTGTGCTTGGATGTTTCCATATGTCAGTGTCAAGGCCTCCCATGCGTGTGTCTGAAGGGTCTTGGTCCTTATGGGAACATGGACATGGCAGAAGGTGCCCCTCTTCCTGACAAGCGCCTCAGGCCTCAGCTGGCTGGGCGACATGGGGGACTTTGTTCAGGGCTACAGGCCACTGAGGGCAGTGCTGACGCTGTGCTGGTGGCAGGTGAATGGGCAGAACGTGGAGGGGCTGCGGCATGCCGAGGTCGTGGCAAGCATCAAGGCTCGTGAGGATGAGGCTCAGTTGCTAGTGGTGGACCCCGAGACAGATGAGTACTTCAAGCGGTTGCGGGTCACACCTACTGAAGAGCACCTGCAAGGTAGGTAGAAGGGCATGGCCTGAGCACAGTGAGGGGGGTGTCTGCAGTGTGTGCTCTGGGCCGAGGTGCAGCAGAGGGGGCCTGGGGAATCTCGGGAGAGGGACAGAGGGCATGCCAGGGGCAAGTCCCAATGTGGGCTGGGATCCTGGGGTCCAGTGAGGCCAGGTCTAACATATTACCCTCTTTGCAGGTCCGTTGCCATCCCCTGTCTCCAATGGGACCAGCCCTGCCCAGGTGAGAGGGTAGTCCAGCAGGACCCAGGAGCACTTGGGATTTCCAGGCCCAACACGGACCCTAGGAAGCCCTGTGGGGACCATGATGGTGGGCCCAGGCAGGCCGAGGCATGAATCTGGCAGGTCCTTTAGGACTACAGCCTGAGCCAGTGCCCACTCCACGGCCACACTGGCTCCTAGAGCCGTAATGGGTCCTCAGGGGGTCCCAGGAGAGCCTCTCCCTCCCTTGAGGTGTGGGTGCTCCGGACTGTGGGGTGGCAGGTGCAGGGAAGAGCCGTTAAACTTGCTTCCTGCCAGGGCTGAGGGCTGGCCAGGCCAGGAGTGGAGGCCCCATGTCCCCCATGGTGGAGAGCATGTGCGTGGTGTATACACACACGTGCATGTTCCAGAGGCTCCCTCATGCCACTGCTTGCTGTTGGTTTCAGCTCAATGGTGGCTCAGTGTGTTCCTCTCGAAGTGATCTGCCTGGCTCAGACAAGGACATGGAGGTGAGTGCTGGAGCATCTCGAGAGAGGGCCAGAGGGTATGCTGCGGGCAGTCCCAACATGGACTGGGACTCCAGCCCTGTTGCTGCCCTCATATCCGGAGCCAGAGGCAGTGGGGACAGGCATCCACACCAGTTTGGCTTGGACCAGAGTGCTCCTGCCTCCCTGTGTGCAGGGCTCACTCTGTGCCCATTCTTCTTGCCTTGCAGGATGGCAGTGCTTGGAAGCGAGACCCTTTCCAGGAAAGTGGTCTGCACCTGAGCCCCACGGCTGCGGAGGCCAAGGAGAAGGCACGTGCCACTCGCATCAATAAGCGGGCACCTCAGATGGACTGGAACCGGAAGCGGGAGATCTTCAGCAACTTCTGAGCTCTGGCTGTGTGTCTGCCGGCCTGCCCTGCTCCCCTTGTGGACTTTGGGGCTCCTTGCCCGCCCAGCACTCCTTGTACCTCAGTGGACTAGAGGGGGCACCCCAACCCCAGAATTCATGGTGGTGCCACTGCTGCCCCGGAATCACCAGCCTGTGAGTTCCCGTCCTGCCTGCCTGAGTGCTGGGACCATGTGGCAGTGTGATGGGGGACAGAGAGACCCCGAGATGTGAGAAAGAGAGCCAGAGACAATAAGAGAGGGAGACAGAGGGGCTGCTGGGCCCCAGGCCCACGGATCTGAAGGAATTTGTTTTTGCTTTTTTTCCAAAAGAGCAATCCAGTGCTACACATGTTTCCACTTAATACCAGAGCCCCCTCCTCGGCTCCCCCCTCCTCGGACTTGCTCTCTAAATAATCGCAATAAAACAAGCCTTTTTCTGCAAACCATTTCCTCCCCCAAACCTCCCCAATCCCAGCGGCCTGAGAGTTACAGACTTCCGGGGGCAGAAGATGGTGAGTCTCCAGTCTGGGTACCCCCTTAAGGGGCCCCAATGCTGGCCCTCTGCACCAGGGTTCTTGCAGAGGCTCAAGGATGGAGGTCCAGAGCCTCACGGAGGGCAGCCTCTGGACAGGGCCCTCAACCTGTGTGCAGCCCTTGCCCCGGACTGCCAGCCCCTGCCAGCTCAGTGACCACCCCATGACCGGCATCGCTGTCAAGCCTTGTAAGCCATAGCGCACAGCGCGCGCACACTTCGGGAATAAACAGCCCCACCTCCTGCAGGCCCATGTCTTTTCTGAGAACCACAGTTGGGATGGGGGTAGGGTCATCAGTCTGCTGTAAGGGGCCCTGAGATGGGGCTGCAGTCACGGCAGGCGTTTATCTGCTAGGTTCACTGCCCTGTGCCCCCACCCGGCCCTCTCTGCTGTCCTCGCCTCCCTGGGGAGCCCACTCGTGCCCCCTGGCCCAGCCTGTCCAGCAGGAACATGGGAGGACCAGGCCTTGCTGCGCCCAGCTGTTGAGCCTCTGCCAGCAGGCCAGGTGGCTATGTCAACAGGGGGCGGGGCTCTGCAGAGGCAGCAGGGTGTATGGAGTTCAGTCTGGGCCCTCAGCCTGTGGGGGTTCAGGGAAGACGGGGTGGTGCCTGAGTCCCCGCCAGCCAGAAAGGCAAAGGCGAGGAGGGAGCCCTAGGGAAGGCTTTCTGGCTTTCACAACTTCCTTGTGCAGTGAGGTCGGCATGTCCCGGTCCTGATCTGGCCCCTGAGGAACTCATGCCAGACACACAGGAGCCAGCAAATGTTTGCATGCACAGCGCGCACGCACACACACACGTACATGGCTCACATTGATGCATGCAATATGCCACATGGACATTCAGAATACACACAGCTCACACAGATTTAAGTAAAAACATATGAACACACAGCTCTCACAGATATGTGCAGTGACAGAGCTCACACATACACAGCACACGCAGCTCACATATGTATAAACAGGTGTGCTGATACAGACATATACATGATACGATGGATTAAGATACCCAGATACATGCAATGGCACACATACACCTCACATATGTACACATGTAGATGCACCTCACAGATACATACACCGCACGTACAGATCATACCCAGCCAGTCACCAAAAACATGTAGATGGAAATGCACATAATCTGTGTGCAAATGCAGGTGGGTACATGCACAGACCCATGATGCACAGTTCAAAGTTCACCTGCACACAGGCAGCTCATATGTGAAGGGACAGATGCACCTGTCAGTTATCCACCCCTCTCACCTCCAGAAACTAGCCAGCCCATAAAAACACCTTGAGGCTTTATTAGACTGCAGCTCACAAGCAAAGGCACATAACATGTGGGTGGGGCAGACATCTCTGTCCCTGGTCCCTGGACAGGAAGTCCACTCCCTCAGCGGCGCCGGCCAGTGGGGCACAAATCTTGATTCAGACAGTCCTGGCAGCGTGGGCGGACAGGCAGGCAGGTCTGCTGGCCAAAGCCCACCAGCAGTGAGTTGATCTCGCCCCACAGCTCCCTGTGGGGTCAGAGTGAAAGAATCAGCACTCAGGGGCAGCCCGGCCCTTGGCCTCCCACCCCACCCCACCCCACCCACCTGGGCAGCCACTCCTCCAGGGCAGCTTGGGTTTGCTCTGGGGTCTTGGTTGGCTTTCGGATCCACTGGAGGCGGTTAGCAATTCTGTGCACATGTGTGTCCACCGCTGTGTGGAGACCGCAGGGTGGAGAGCTGGGGACAGGGATGCCTCATCTGCCCATAGCCCAGGTCTTCTGTGTAGTCCCCTGTGCTGTCCTCTAGAGACACCACCCCAGTATTTCCTCATAGCCCTGTTCTACTCTCGCTGGCCACTGACCACAGCTAGGGATACCTTTGGGCAGGAGCATCCACTGGATTAGGGTGTCTGGGGTGAACTGGGTAAGGGCACTGAATCATCATCCTGGGGGACCACACAGGCTATAAGTGGTCACACATGGTCTGCTGGCCTTCCTCGTCTCCACTGATCCACTCCTGCCAGGCAGGACTGGAGCCAGAATTAGCATGTGCGCAGGCCCAGCCTCGAGGCCGCGGAGCCTCAGCCTTGTTCTTCCGAGCCTGCAGAGCTGGTGTTGGCTGGAGGGGTGTTCCTGCCCTGGGCTCCCCTCCCTGGGTAGGAATTCCTTCCTGGAGTCACAAGCTCCAAGCTCAGTGGATGGCAGGCTCTTAACTGAGCTTTGCTGCCTAGTCCTGTAACTCAAGCCCTTGTGAGGTGTCCAGATACGTACTCTCAGACCACATCACTGCAGAAGTGGGGGATCTGACTCCTATACCTGGCTTAGGCTCCTGGGAAATGAGCCCGGGCCTGGAATGGCCTTGCCTGCTGCTCTCTGTGCATCCCCCAAGGCCCCTCCAGGGAGGCCCAGTGTCAGTGGGCGGCTCGACCCAGTGGGGTGTGATGGGATCACCACACTTGTCACTGTAACTGTTGGAGGCAGAGTAGGCAGGTGTGGCTACTGGGTGCCTGTTACGGGGTGCCTCCCCTGTGGCTTAGGCCACCTGGTTGAGATTCTGGCTGGTCACTTCTGCTGCCGCCGTTGTTTTTGCCAGAGAGAAGGTGAAACCCCTGGAGCTGGCTGCCCTCTTAACTGCTTGGAGAAGCTTCTGCACGTCCCCACTCAGAGGAGGCCTGGGGGATGGACTAACATGCAGGCCAATGGGTCATGTCCCTAGGCCACACACAGACAGTACCCTGCTCTGTGACACGGATGTGAGAGCTCTGCCAGGAGAGTGCCAGCCTGGGTCTCCTGGGACCCGTTCAGGGTCCCCTGATGTCACAGGAGCCTGACAGGCTGGCCCAGGGAGTTGTCCCTTCACTGTAGTTGGTAAGGATGACCATTCCACCTGCTACCTTTGCTCGCAGTCCAAAGCCACTGAGCTGCAAAGGGTCAGAATTGACCTCTGGGGTCTCCCTGCAGATGGCCTTCCAACACTCCTGACGTCTCTGTCCCCATAGACCTGCTCCCAGGAGCCCTTGTGACACGGGCAGCTGAGGACAGCATCTAGATAAGCTCAAGTGTCTGCTAAGAGGCCCCAGGCAGGAGCTGAAGGGTGTGGAGAAGGATCTCCAACTGCTTTCTCTCAGGCCCCAAGTCACCATAACCAAACCTTTCGGCCCCTAACTCAATGGGCAGTATAAGGGTGGTGCCCATCCAGAGGAGGGCTGAAGACAGTCACTTCAGCTTCCCATATGTCCTGAGCCCCAGAAACTGGGGGCTCCCACCCCTTTGTGCAGGGTCCAAGGGGAGCAGTGAGGGCTGCGTGGGCACAGGTCTGTTGTTACAGAGGCTCCTGAGAATAGAATTCCAGGCAGGCAGGTGCGGCCCCTCCTCTGTCCAGCTGGCACCTCCACTCTGCTTAGTCTGCACCCACCTCCTGTACCTGGCCTCCCTCCGTCGGCATGGCTGTTCCTGTGGCCTGGAACCTGCTCCACCTCCTTCCTGCCTGGCTGACTCCCTCTCATGCTACAGCTGATGGCAGAGCTATTAGGGAAGTCCCAGGGCAGGCCGGTTGGTCTCCACACCTACGATCCAGTCCCAAGTGTATCCCTGGACCCAGCTCAGTGGATGTGAGCTCCAGCTGCTGTAACAACAACTAGGTATCAGGGGCTAGACGAGTGCTGGGGCCCCTTTCTGGCCCTTTGGGTTGAGTGGTGGGATGACCTCACCCTTTAAGCCTCAAATGGAACTTTCATCCAAACAATAATCAAGCCTATACTTGGGCATGTTGTCAAGAGGGGCCAGTCCTTGGCAAAAGACAACATGCTGGAAAAAGTGAAGTGTCAGAAAAAAGAAAGGAAGATGCTCAACAAGATTGACAGTGACTATAACAATGGCTAGAGCATGTTAGCGATCATAAGGATGGTTCCAATCTGTTGCTCAGAGGATCGCTATAAGTCATAAAAGACTCAGCAGCATCTAACAAAAAGCAATGCATGGGGGATCAATACCACCAGGAAGGCATACACATTTCAGAACAACTAACCGAATAAGAACAAAATGACAGCATTAGGAAAGGAGAAATGGGAACTACAGAGAGGAACAGGGAAGAATGCTGATACACTGTGGGGACGGCAGTAAATGCTTTGGAAACAAAATGTCTATGTGTAGTTGACTACAAAAGCAACACGCTCTGTGAAATTTCACCTACGTTATAATAAAAAGTTAATAAAGGAGAAAAAAAGGGATAGGGATAAGGAATTCCCCACAGCAGGCAGCAGGCTGGAATAGGCCCCTCCTTCCTTCTCTCCTCAGGCGTGCGTCCACTCACCAATGCCCGACACGGTGCCCCAGGCCACTGCCATGGCCAAGTGTGCCATCTTGGGACCAACCCCAGGCAGGGCCACTAGCTCTGCGACTGAGGCAGGGATGTCCCCGTTGTAGTGCTGCTGCAGGATGGCACTGGTCTGCTTGATGTACTTCACTTTACTCTGGAAGATGAGGAACAGGCCTGGCTTAGCTCAGTGTGGTGGAAGAGTTGTCACAGGTACCCAAAGCTACCTGTCACCTGCCCAGGGCTCACAAAGGCACCTGCTCACCTCTTCTGGTAGGACACACCAAGGGTAGGCCTGGATCCCTGCCTGCTACCCACCAGGGCTAGTGAAGTGAGTGATCCAGCTCCAGCCTTCCTGCCTCCCATTTTGCCCAGCACGCAGGCCAGCCTGGTCTCCGCTGCACCTGGGCTTCAGGAAGGAAGGCAGACCTGGGACTGCCTGCTGGCTGCCTGGCCCGCTGGGAGGTCCCCATCCTAGGCTAGGCCCAGGGCTATTTAAATCTTTCTGACAGGCAGCAGCCCACACTAGGGTTGAGTTGAAGTGGAAGTTGTTCCATCCACTGAGCGGCCTTCAGACGTTTACCCCCTCCTGCCACCCCATGTCTTGATGGGTGTGGAGAACAGCCGGCTGGGGCTCTGGGGGAGGATGACATACTCTGGGGAGCCCTGGAGTAAACAAAAGGAAAGCAGAGTGGGCAGGAAGGGAGGGGCTGGGTGGAGAGGAGGAGGAAGGAAGGGGGTGCTGACAGGAAGAGCTGGCTGGGAGCTCCCCAAGGGCTGGTCAGTACTGGGTGGGGGCTTTGCAGGACCATGCATCTGACCCTGTGACCTGAGACATTCCCCTGCCTCTTATAACCCCTGATCCTTGTCAGGCCGTGGCCCTGCTGCCACCCGAGGCTGGACGTACCCTCCAGAACCCTACAGGGTGGATGAGTGCCCCCAGCGTGCTGTCATCCATCTGCAGGATGCTGTCTACCGTCAGGCCCCGCGCTCGCAGCCGCTGCATGGCACCTGCTGTCACCTGGTCTTTGGTCTGGCTGGACAGCATGAGTGAGAGCAGTATCTGGTACCTCTGCACCTGCAGGCAGACAGCCAGAGCACAGAAGACGTTGGCTCAGACCTTTACGTGGGGCAAGGTATGGAGCAGGTATCTCCTGTCCACTGAGGCCTCTTTAGTCACCTCTAAATGTGAGGACACTAATGGGACCTGGCTTGCAGGATTGCCATGTGACTTAAAAGCATCACCACAGAGTTTATAATTGTACTGGGCAGACTGTGGTTATGGAAGCCAGTGTTGCTGTTGTTACAATTTACAGACAAGTAAACTAAGTCTCAGAGAGAAGCACACTCTAGTCAGCCAGGAGCACAGCTAGGATTAGAACCTGGATCCAGCTCTGGATTACTGCACTTCAGCAAATGTTCAGGAGTGTTCTGACATCCCTGGCCAAGAGCAGAGCAGGAAGCTCAGAACTATAGATGCCCCAACTTTCAGGAGGTACTCAGAGAGGCAGGCGATGCCAGCCGGCCCCAGCCTACCTTCGGGGGTGCGCTGGAGTCGTAACAGTGCTCAGCACCCAACCGGTCCACAGGCGCATCCTTCCTGCTCCTCATAGTGCGGATGTTTTCCAGCTGCTTCTGCCAATCCTGGGGCTCCCAGGCTGGTGGCCGGAGGGGCTCAACCACTCTGTGTCCCTCACCATCACCATGTGCAGACTCATAGGCCACATGCAGTCTCTGTGTCTTTCGCTGGCGCTTCACAGGACAATGACTCAGCTTGCCTTCTGCAAGAAGTGCCACTTGGTCTGGTTAGCCAGGGTTTCAGGGGAGGGCTGGGGGTGGATGGGTGAAGCTCTACTTCCTCTCTCGCCCCTCATTCAGGTCTTCTTTCCTGGACTAGGATTTCTCCAGAGGAATGAATCCCCTGGGGCCAATTTTGTCCAAGTCCTAGATCAACAAGTCCTGAATGCTTAGAATCAGAGTGAGCACACCTGTGCTAGAATTCAACTCAACTCGCCATGGAGTCAGAAAGGACACAGAGCTGACTCCAGAAGCTGAAAAATCTTTCTCACTCAGAGCAGCTGGTGTATTTGAACTGTAAGTCTCGGGCGGTCCTTACTAGGCCATTAGAGTATGAGAATTAGCTGCCATCAAGTAAATTCCAACTGCTGGTCTCCCTATGTGTATCGGAGCAGAACTGCACCCTGTAAGGATTCAGTGACCACCAGGCCGAGACCAGAACTAGACAGTGCCCAGCTGCCACTGAAAGGGATCATAGTGGTAGGTGCTTGGATAGGGTGGGAGGAGAAATGTGTAAAACTCAAAATCATAACTTTCAGGCAAACAACACATCAGCTAGAAGGTGGCACAGAATGTAGGGAGTGGTTCCATTATTCCAAAGGTGGTGCCTCTATGGCAGCTCAAATCTACCAGCTGCTCCCCCTCCAGCAGCTCCCTCCTTTACAATTTACAGCCTCCTGAATACCTGCCAGAGGGTCAGCTAAGAGCTGGTTCTGACTGGAGGACAAAGAGCTTTTTAGTGTAAGGTGAACAATAACACCAGGGAGCAGTCACGCCTTCGAATATAACCAAGCACATAAGGTCAAAAGAGCAGCATTTGCCCAGAGGGAAAGCAGAGAAAAAAGGAAGGGCTAAGAAAGGATGAACGGAAATGACAAACACAGGGATGAAGCAGGAAGAGTTCTGTTCTGTGGGGATTGCAATCAATGCCACTTAATGAATGCCACTTAATATGAATGAAGTGCTGAATGGAAAACCGATTTGTTATTGTAAAATTTCACCCATATCACAGCAACAACAAAAAAGCAGAATAATAAGTCTTTCTTCTGAAGTGCTTCTAGGGTAACTTGAACTTCCACCCTTTGAGTGGGTGCTGCTAATCCTTCACCTCTAGCATGCAGTGATACCATCCCTTTTTCTATTTTCCCCTCTTGCATGGAAGAGTGGCTATTGAAACGGAAGTAGTATCAGAACAAGGCGGGGCAGCCCCACGAACCTGGCCAGAGCCAGAGATTTTCTTGCTCAGGACAGGGACTGGAGAAATGCAGGCCTCTGTGCACCCTTTCCCTTGTGTCCAGGCTGCTAATGGACCAAGGAGTTCGTTTGCGGTGGCACCAACCTGCGTGGCGTGGAGCCCGAGGCTGTGGCCAGGAACCGCAACCCCCGCTCGTCCTAACTCTGCCTTCTCTTTGCATGTCTTGGCCCCTGGGACCCCAACCTACAGCCCCCAGCTCGTCTATCCCTCGCCTCGCCTTCTCTCTGCCTGTGTGTTGGCCCCCAGGACCCCAAACTTCAGCTCCCTGCTCATCTTTCCATCTCCGGCTTTCTGCACGTGCCCTGGCCCCCGGGACGCCAACCCTCAGCCCTCTGCTCGTCCTTCTCTCGCATTCTCTCTACACGTGCCCTGGCCGAGGGGCCATGCTACCTGCAGCCGCCTCCCCGCCCCCGCGTAACCGGGATCCAGGCTCCCGGATCCGGCTGCGGGTCACCATCCTCACGCCTACCGCTGGCATGCCGGCCTTTCTCGGACTACAGGTCCCGGCGCTCCCCTAGGGGCACCGTGTGACTCAATATGCGTCGACGTCTCCAGCCCGCCTCCCGCCGTCCCTCCAGAGGGCGACCCCCGGAACTACAACTCCCACCAAGCACTGCGGCTCCCCGTCGCTGCCGGAAGTGTGCGCCTCACTGCTGACTGTGGCGCTCGGCTGGGGGTGTGAGCCCTTGTCTCGGCCGGACGGCCCGGCGAGCGGCAGGCGCTGCGTGGGGTGAGTGGCTCGCGGCGTGCTGGCTGCTGCCACCACCTGGGACTGCAGTGGCCTGGTCCCGCCGGGGCGTCCGGGGAGGCCGCCCCCCGCCACATTCAGGGTCTTGATCATCCCGGCCGTGGGCTCCTAGAACTCCTTGGTTTTGAGTCATTGCGAGTGTGAGGGACTCCCCGCTGCAGGTGTTCCTTCCACCGCTCTTTCTTCACCTCTTAAGGGTTGGAAATGATAGACGACAGGTTCTCCACTTCCTTCCCTGACCCCGTGCAGAGTCTGAGGTGGCCGGCGCCCTATGTGCTCGCTAGCCAGGCCTGGCCTTTTCTGCACTAACTTGTGGCCGTGGCCGGGTTCTCCCGGGGCTGGAGGAGCGTGGGTCATACCTACCTGACGACAGTTTGGGGACTGCACTGAGCAAAGTGGCGGGCAGGCCTCACCTCTCTCCACTCTTCTCCCCTGCACAGCGGAGCCCCCCAGCACTTCCCTGCCCACCATGGCCAAGCCCACAAGCAAAGATTCGGGCTTGAAGGAGAAGTTCAAGATTCTGCTGGGGCTGGGAACGTCACGGCCACACGCCAGATCCGCAGAGGGCAAACAAACGGAGTTCATCGTCACCGCGGAAATTCTGAGAGTGAGTTGACTGTCTAATGCCAGGTGCACGCAAATCTGGATTCCCTGTTTCTAGGGTCTGAGAGAAATGGATGCACAGGGCTGCAGCCCTTAGCGCTGTGGTGCTAAAAGACTTTATTTCCTTTGGAAACTCAAGATCTTGGTGACTTTGGGAAGCTAGATTTGTATTCAGACAGCCTGGACTCCTTTTTTTCTACACAGGTGGTTAAGTTGGTCCATGTGTGAGTGAGTGAGAGACACTTGTTTCATCTCTCTCTGATGCCTGACACCATGCTTTCTTCTAAGTAAATGTTGAATTTTTTTTACTTCTAAAGTTTCCCAAGGAAACTCTGGTGGCATTGTCTGTACTAAGAGTTGTGCTGCTGGTCCACAGGTGGGTCTTCTGTGGCAATTTCAATCCACCAGTTGCTCTGTGGGAAAAAAGATGGGCAATCTCCTCCTATGAAGTTTATAGCCTTGGAAAACTCAAAGGAAGGTCAGCTGTGAATCAGGTCCTATTCAACAGAAATAAATGAGTGAATGATGAAAGTTTCCCAGGGAGGGCTCGTGGCTCAGTGGTTAATGACCCAGCTGCTAATTAAAGGTTTGGTTGTTCAAATCCACCAGGTATTCCATAAAAGATAAATGATTCAGTCTGCTTTCATAAAGATTACACCTTTGGGAACCCTGTGTGTCAGCTCTGCAGTGTGCTGTGAGGTTGCTGTGCGTTAGAATCACTCTGTGGCTGTGGGTTTGGTTTTGCAAAACTGCAAGAACTTTGGCAGTACAGTGGTTGAGCTCTCAGCTGCTGAAACTTGACAGTTGGAACCACCAGTTACTCTAAGGAGAATGTGACCATCTGCCTCTGTAAAGATTTACAGCCTTGAGAGTCCTGTGGTGCAGTTCTTCTCTGTTCTGTAGGGTTGCTAGGAGTTAGAATCAACTCAGTAGCAATAAATTTTTGCTTTTGAAAGTTTCCCATTTCCCATATGCCCATCACTTGTGCAAATAAGATCCATCCATGCAATGACATGGCACTCAGCCATAAAGAGAAAGCAAGTCCCTGTGTGTTGTAAGGTGGGTGAATCTTGAGAACATGATGCTTAGTGAAAGCAGCCAAACAGAAAACACCCCATTGCATGATTCTACTTCTGGGACAAAGCACAAGGTAAGAGGGTAGACTGATGTTGCCAGGGTGAGGGAGGGCAGAGGAGAAGGGCTGCGTGATGGAGACAGAGTTTTAGTCTTACTATCTTTTCAACATCAACTTTTTATGAGTTCTAACTTTTTTTTTTATCTTTGAGTGCAAGGTTACAGAGCTAATTGGTTTTTCAGTCAACTGTTAAATTTTGATCTGTGACATTGACTATAATCCCCACATTGTAACAGCATCCTTCCCTCTCCCTCCCTGTGTTTCCTGTTCCATTTGTTTTTTTCCCTTCCCTTCCTGCCTTCGGAGCCCCTGAGCAGCTTCTGCTCCTTGGCTTTCATAGGGTGGGTTGGTCTAGGGATTGCATTCCTCCCTAGTGTTACTCATCACCTTATAGACTTATCTGTTATTAGACTACATGTTGGGTCAAGTGGTTGATTTCAGTTCCAGGCTTGAAGGGGGAGACTAAGGGCCATGGTCTTAGCGGTTTGTGTGGATGAGATGGTTCCACCAGTCAGGGGTTCCTTCTGAGGTGATGAAAACATTCTGGAATCAGATTGTGGGGTTGGTGCAGAGTCTGTGGAAGTGCTGAATGTCATTGAATTGTATGCTTTAAAAAGTTTAGCAAAGTAAGTGTCTTGTTATGTAGATTTGTTGTTGTTATGTGCGACTCATAGCGACCCTATGTACAATAGCCCTAAACCCTGCTCTATCTTGTGCCAGTCACACTGCCTCTGACACACCCATCCCGATTACCCCAGTCACTGACTCAATCCACTTCATAGAGGGCCTTCCCCTCCTGCGCTGTCCCTCCACCCTCCCAAGCATGATGTTCCTCTCCAAGGACCTATCCCTCCTTACAACATGTCCAAAGTATGTCAGACGAATCCTTGCCTCCAAGGAGCAGCCTGGTTTAACCCTCTCCAGGATGAATTGTTTGTTTTCTTGGCAGTCCATGGTACATTAAACAATCTTCTCCAGCACCACAGCTCAAAGGCATCAATTCTCCTTCTGTCCTTCCTAGTCATTGTCCAACTCTCTGATGCATAACAAGTGATTGCAAAGACCATAGCCTGTATCAGATGCATGTTAGTCTCCAGAGTGACACCATTGTTCTTCAGTACCCTGGAGAGGTCCCTAACAGCAGACTTTCCCATTGCAACACGTTTTCTCATTTCCTGGCTACTACTGGTGCCAAGAGTGTTGACCGTGGAGCCAAGCAGATTAAAGTTGTTAACAATCTCAATCTCTTCACCATCCATCCTGATGCTGCCAGTTGGCAGTGGTGAGAATCTTTGTCTTCTTGATATTGAGCCTCAATCCATACTGAAGGCTGCAGTCCCTTACCCTCTGCAGCAAGCGCTTCAGGTCCTCCTCAGTTTCAGCAAGCAGGGTTGTGTCATCTGCATAACACAGATTGTTGATAGATCTTCCACCAATCCTGATGCCACATTTCTCCTCATAGAGCCCAGTGTCTTGGATGATCTGTTCTGCATGTTGTTGTTATGTGCCGTCGAGTCGCCTGTGACTCATAGCGACCCTATGTACTACAGCCCTAAACTCCGCTCTGTCCTGTGCCAATCGCACTGTCTCTGACACTCCCATCCCAATTATCCCAGTCACTGAATCAATCCACCTCATAGAGGGCCTTCCTCTCCTGCGCCGTCCCTATGGAGACAGGACACATCCCTGACGTACACCTTTCCCAATTTTGAACCATGCCTTTTCCTGTTTCCCGTTTTCCTGTTTCCTTGCTCTGTTCTGACTACTGCTTCTTGGTCCAAGTATAGGTTTCTCATTAGCATGATCAAGTGTTCTGGGATTCCCATTCTTCCCAGAGTCAGCCACAGTTTGTTATGATTCACACAGTCAAACGCCTTTGCATAATCAATGAATCATAGATAGACATTCTTCTGGTATTTCCTGCTTTCAGCTAAGATCCATCTAACATTAGCTACAATATCCCCAGTACTATGACCCATTCTAAACCCAGCCTGGACTTCTGGCAAGTCTCTGCTGATGTGCTGTTCCAGTTGTTTTTGGATAATCTTCTGTAGAATCTTGCTTGCATGTGAAATCAGTGATGTTGTTCTATAATTTCCACACTCTGTTGGGTCACCTTTCTTTGGAATGGGAACAAATATAGGTCTTCCAGTAAGTTGGCCAAGTGGTTGTTCTCCAGATTTCTTGCCACAACTTGGTGAGCACATCCAAGGCAGCATCCGTTAGCCGAAATACATCAATTGGTATACCATTTATTCCTGGGGCCTTATTTTTTGCTATTTCCTTCAAAGCAGCTTGAACTTCTTCCTTCATCACCATAGGCTCTTGCTCATATGTTATTTCATTAAATTCTTCTGTGTCTGCCAATTCCTTTTGATACAGTGACTCAGTATATTCTTTCCATCTTCTTTTAATACTTCCTGGATCATTTAATATTCTGACTAAAGCATCCTTGATTATAGCAACTCAAGATTTGAATTTGTTCTTCAGTTCCTTGAGCTTAAGAAATTCTGAAGGAGTTTGGCCCTTTTGATTTTCCGACTTAAGCTCCTTGCACATTTCATAGTAATATTTTGCTTTGTCATCCCGTGCTGCCTTTTGGAATCTTCTGTTCATCTCTTTAGTGTCTTGAATTCTTCCTTGTGCTTTTGGCTTCTCTGTGCTCCAGTGCAATCTTCAGAGTTTCTTCTGACATCCATTTTGGTCTTTTTTTTCTCATCTGTCTTTGTAATGACCATTTGTAGATTACACATCATTAAAAAATAATCACATTGAAATAAAAGTTATCCCTTTAATTTACCTTTTAGGTAAATAAATAGGCTTAAAAATAAAAATTATCACTTGTGAGTTATGCTGTTAAGTCAGCTATGACTCATAGTAATCCTGTGAGCTGTAAATGTGAACCTTGCCCTCCTAACTAACCATCTCTGATAAACCTAAGTCCACTGTTAGTCACTGTACCAGACCATCTTGTTGAAGATCTCCCTCTTTCTTTGACCCTCTACCTTTCTCAGTTCAATGTCTTTTCCTAAGGACCTTCTGACAACATTGCCTAAATTATGTGAGATAAAATTTCACCATGTTTACCTCTGAAGAGCTTTCTGGTTGCGCTTTCTCTAAGACAGACTTGTTTTGTCTATTTATGGAATATTCAGTACTCTTTTCCAATACCGTTAATATAATTTAAACAAATCGATTCTTCTGTTGTCATCTTTATTCTTCTTCAATTCTCAGGTGAATAGAAAACAATGGAAAATATGGCTTGAATGAGGTGCACCTTAGTCTTTAAACTTACATCATTGCCCTTAAGAACTTTGGAGAAGTCCTTAACAGCAGATTTTCCCAGTGTAACATGTCTTTTGAAATCTTGACTGCTGTTTACATGAGTTTTGATTGTAGATTCAAGTAAGATTAAATAGTTGACAACTTAATTTTTTCTCTATCTCTTATTATGTTGCCTCTCAGTGCAGTGGTGAGAATTTTTGGTTTTTGATGGTGTGATATAATCCATATTGAAGAATATAGTTGTTCAGCTTCTGCAGCAAGTGATTCAAGTGTTCATTTCTGCAAAGCAAGATTCATCATCTGCCTAGAACAGGTTGTTGATAAGTTTTCTTCAATTCTGATGCCACATCTTTCTTCATATAGTCTAATTTCTCCAGTGATTTTGTTAGCGTACAAATTGAACAGGTATGAAGAAAGGATGTAACCTTGATGATTTTTAACTACAGTGTTTGCTTGTTGTTTAGGCAACTGCTTCTTGGTCAATGTGTAATTTTGCATGAGCACCATTAAATATTCTGGGATTCCCATTCTTCTTAATGTTAGCCATAATTGTTATGATTCACACTATCAAATGCCTTTGTATA